GTCAAACTGCATTAATTCAACAGTGTGGATGCATTCATAGTGATAAACTATTGCCCTATTGCTGGATGTGCTGCAACAGTGTCATCTCCAGGGATATTCAGATGACCTCCAGAAGTCCATTCCTATCACATTAATATTACTATTGTTATATTTATTTATACCCCACTTTATCTCTCCTGAAGGAGACTCAAAGCAGCTTAACATCAAAACTTTAGCACACAATTTAAAATATACAAATATGCAAACATTAAAGCAGAATTAAATATAAACAGTATTTTAAAAATCACAATTAAAAAACATTAAAACATTATTGAAAGTTTAAAACTGCACCACTACATTGCATTCAGTGGATGAACATAGCTAGATGCATCATCTCTAACCCCCCCCCCCTTTTTTTTTCTGGCATGTTATTTGTCACAAGGTGGGTCTGGAGGGGGTTAGCATCAGGTGATAATTATAGAAACTTGTATGCCTCTTTGGGGCTTTATTTTCCCTGGTTTAATTTTACTTTTATTTCAAATTGCACTGCATTGTTTCTGTGTTTAAAAAATAAACTAAAACCGGTTAAATGATGGTTGAAATATTTTAGAATTGAAGAAATGTGGCGCATGTTTTAAAAAGAATGAGATTCCAGATGTAATCCCCTTCCTGGCACCTTTTCTTGTCTCAGTCGAGAAAGGCGGGACTTTCCTGGATCAATGATTCACCTGGGACAGGAGACAGAAAACTGGATCTGTCTGGGTTGCATCTGATTCCAGGGATAAACCCCTGTGTCAATGTATCCAGTGCCAAGTGTTACAAAGTAATCTTCTGATGCAAAGTTGGTATCTCTTTATTGGTTTGTAATACTCTGATATATTAGGTTCTTGTGGGTTTTTTCGGGCTATAGGGCCATGTTCTAGAGGCATTTCTCCTGACGTTTCGCCTGCATCTATGGCAAGCATCCTCAGAGGTAGTGAGGTCTGTTGGAATTAGGACAATGGGTTTATATATATTTGTCAATGTATCAATCCTTCAACTATATCATCTCTGACCGGGGGGGGGGGGGGGGGCAGGAAACCAGTCAAGATGGATCTACACTGCCATATAATTCATATTATCAAAGCAGATAATTGAGGTTATCTGCTTTGAACTGGATTATATTTATTTATTTATTTATTATTCAAACTTATATGCCGCCACTCCCCTAGGGCTCGGAGCGGTTTACAAGAAACAAACTCGAATCTAACACAATTTATTTATTTATTTATTTATTTATTTATTTCGAACATTTTTAGCCCACCCTTCTCAACCCCAAGGAGGACTCAAGGTGGCTTACAATTGACAATAATTCAATTGGCAATAAAACAACATATCAAAGATAGAAAGCCTGCATCTACTCTGTGGCATAGACACTGAGAACTGGGAAGCCCTGAACCTTGAGCACTCCAACTGGAGGTCAGTTGTGACCAGCAGTGCTGCGGAATTCAAAGAGGCATGAATGGAAGTCAAAAGAGAGAAACGTGCCAAGAGGAAGGCGCATCAAGCCAACCCTGACCGGGACCATCTTCCACCTGGAAACTGATGTCCTCACTGCGGCAGAAGATGCAGATCAAGAAGAGGGCTCCACAGCCAACTACGGACCCACCACCAAGACACCACATCTGGAAGACAATCATCTTTGAGCTACGAGGGATCGCCTAAGTAAGCAAATAAGAAAGATAATCCAGTTCAAAGCAGATAATCTGGATTTCATATTGCAGTGTATATAGGGCCTCACAGTCATGTATATCCTAAGAGGAGTTAAAACATACAACTTTGTGTAGGGTTTTAAAGAAAGACTAGTGAAGTTGACAAATGCAAGATACTCCACTTTGGCAGGAAAAACGAAATGCAAAGATACAGAATAGGGGATGCCTGGCTCAAGAGCAGTACGTGTGAAAAAGATCTTGGAGTCCTCGTGGACAACAAGTTAAACATGAGCCAACAATGTGATGTGGCGGCAAAAAAAGCCAATGGGATTTTGGCCTGCATCAATAGGAGCATAGTGTCTAGATCTAGGGAAGTAATGCTACCCCTCTATTCTGTTTTGGTTAGACCACATTTGGAATATTGTGTCCAGTTCTGGGCACCACAATTCAAGAGAGATATTGACAAGCTGGAATGTGTCCAGAGGAGGGCGACTAAAATGACAAAGGGTCTGGAGAACAAGCCCTATGAGGAGCGGCTTAAGGAGCTGGGCATGTTTAGCCTGAAGAAGAGAAGGCTGAGAGGGATATGATAGCCATGTATAAAATATGTGAGAGGAAGCCACAGGGAGGAGGGAGCAAGCTTGTTTTCTGCTTCCCTGGAGACTAGGACGCGGAACAATGGCTTCAAACTACAAGAGAGGAGATTCCATCTGAACATGAAGAAGAACTTCCTGACTGTGAGAGCCGTTCAGCAGTGGAACTCTCTGCCCCGGAGTGTGGTGGAGGCTCCTTCTTTGGAAGCTTTTAAACAGAGGCTGGATGGCCATCTGTCAGGGGTGATTTGAATGCAATATTCCTGCTTCTTGGCAGGGTTGGACTGGATGGCCCATGAGGTCTCTTCCAACTCTTTGATTCTATGATTCTATGATTCTATGAATGGGAGACCTCCAATGAATATAAGGTGCCATAAGCTATGTTTCAAAGAAAGGAACTGGCAAAATCATCTCCATTTATTACTTGCCTAAGAAAATCTTGTGAAATTAATGGGGTTGCCATAGGTCAACAGGTGACTCGAAGGCAACACAGAGAAGTGAACATTGAGAGTTCAAGCATCCCTTATCTGGAAATCTGAAATTCTCTGAAATTGTCCACCTGGGTGGCCGAGATTGTGTCACTTTTGCTTTCTAATGGTTCAGTGTACACTAACCTTGCGCATTAATTACTAAAACTTTTGTGTATAAAATTATCTTCAGGCTATGTAAGGTGTGGAAATGAAACACAAATGAATATTGTGAGGAGACTTACTACTTCACCACACTAGAGAATGAATCCACTTTAAATGCTGTTTCTGCCTCTTGCAGAATTCTGGGGTTTGTAGTTTAGTGAGACTGTTAAAGACTCCTCCCTAAACTACAAACCCCAGAATTCTGCAGGAGGCAGAAACTGTATTTTAAGTGGATCCATTCTCTAGTGTGATGAGGTCTTTAGGCTTCATTTCTAATATGTGTGTATGTGCCTACATGTTGCCTGTTGACCTATGACAACCCAATCAATTTTATAGGGTTTGGGTTGTTGTAGGTTGGTGATGGTCCGTGTTTATAGGGTTTTCTTAGGCAAAGAATACTCAGAGCTGGTTTTGCCAGTCCCTACTTCTGAAATAGAGCTTCTCTAGTCCAACAGTTTTCATCTTTTTCTTGGGTCTGTTGGTGCTCTTCCATCATGGTACTAGCTACGACTGACCCTGCTTACTCTCCAAGATGGGTTGGAATCTGGTGCTTTTAGGGGTGTCATACCCATTTTCACTGAAAGCCACACCAGCCTTGTGGTTGCCTTCAAAGGGCTGTTTGTAATTGTAAGACTGTCTAAATATAACTATGGCATTGGAAGGCTTGCAGGATGCATAAAATGATATGGCGGTCTGAATTTGAGGGCTCTGTGTTTGGCACATGTGCTTTAGGGTATTTTAATGTGGCTGAGATATCTCATTATATATGTTTTATGTACAATATATTTAACATATGATATTTAATAGATATCTCACGACAATGGAGTCTCAGACCCCTTCCACACTGCACCTATATCCCAGGATCTGATCCCAGATTATAGTCTTATCCCAGATTATCTAGCAGTGGAAACTCACATAATCCAGTTTAAAGCAGATAATCTGGGATCAGATCCTGGGATATAGGGTAGTGCAGAAGGGGCCTCAGGACCCTTCCAGACAGGCCTATATCCCAGGATCAGATCCCAGCTTTTCTATTTTAAACTGAATTATATGAGTCCACATTGCCAGATAATCTGGGATAAAAAAAAACATCTGAGATCAGATCCTGGGATATAGTTCCTGTCTGGAGGGGCCCTCAGTAAATTCATGGGAAGTGTGTAAATTTAGCTTCTGGTTGCTTTGAGTCGCTACTAAAAATAAGCCTAATACCAAACCATAAACTCTGTATTGATTTGATATTTTTAGTGAAATACAGCAATTGAAAGCAAATAAAGACTAACTTAGCTTAATGTAACAGTTTTATTATATTATAAAAACTGATTTTATAGTACTTTTAAAATTGATTTTATTTTAATCATCATTTCAAGTATTGTTTCAAAAACATTTGGCCACTTGCTTGAGAATTCCAGCTTCTTGCATATTAAATATTACATTTAACATGCAGTGGTTTTCTCATGCAATGATAAAATGTATTTCGATTTGCAACAACTAAAGCAAAGTTTGAAAGCTGTAGATAAAGGTGTGGTAGTTACTTTGTATAAGGTAGCTGTGACGGATTGGATGAGGGCCAACAAGCCGTTGGTGTATTTTATCACTAGGCTTTTCCTTTGTTTTATATGTTTAAATAAAAAATATTTTTGAGAAAAGAGGGTCCCGGCTGCTTGAGTTCTGGTTAACTGAGAGGATATATATATTAAATATACAATAAGCATTCCTGATTTGGAAACCTGAAATACCCTAAATATATATTTCTATAGAAGTAGTTCTCAGCCTGTGGGTCCCCAGGTGTTTTGGCCTACAACTCCCAGAAATCCCAGCCAGTTTACCAGCTGTTAGGATTTCTGGGAGTTGAAGGCCAAAACATCTGGGGACCCACAGGTTGAGAACCCCTCCCTGTCTTAGAGTGTCTTTAATGAGGCAAAGATAAATAGAGGTTTGGCATCCTGACCGAAAAGCCACCCAGTCAATGAGCGAGAGCGGTGGCGTGACGTCACCCTTGGAATTCCATTCCGGCGCCCCCTGGCGGCCAGAGGGAGTCGGAATACGAAAAGGAAAAGTGGGCGGTGCCGCGGAGTAGGTGGGCGTGGCCCCGTCTGGGCCACGCCTCCCCCTTGAGTCAGAGGCGCGCGGCGGGCGGGCTGCCTGGGAAGCGAGCGCAACAAACAGAACCCCGGAGAAGCAGGCAGGCAAGCAAGCGGGCGCGCTGATTGGCGGCCGGGGACAAAGTCGCGGAATCTTGGGAGCCCGAACGTTCGGAAGAGAGAAAGAGAGAGCAAGAGAGTGGGCGCTTTCTCGTTGGGAGGCAGTATCGGCCGCACCGAGCCCAACGCGCCGCTGCCTTCTTCTTCTTCTTCGGCGGAGGAGGAGGAGACGGAGGTCGGAGGCTTTCGGGGAGCGGCGAGGAGGAGGAGGAGGACGGCGGCGGCGAGTTGGCGGCGTGGGGGGAGGAGGAGGAGGAGGACGACTCGGGGAGGGGGGGACCGACGCCCGGGAAAATGAATCGGAGCTTTAACAAGTCCCAGAGTCTGCGGAGTTTGGGCCACGAGCCGGTGGAAGTCAAAAGCAAGGTAAGCCGCCCCCTTCCCCCCCCCCCCCCCCCCCCCCCCATGAATGGAGAGGAGAACTTTCTGCGCCCTTCTCTCCATCCCCGGCTGTGCCTCTCACGTGGTGGGGGGGGGGGCTGCTGGATTGGGAACTCCCCCCCCCGCCCTCCCAGAAGACGCTTCTCCTGCCCTTTTGTTGCCTTTCTCCGCTCCTCTTGCCGGGGGTCTCCACGCCTCCCTCCCTCCCAAAAGGAGCCCCGAGGGAGGGAGAAAGGGGGGAGGAAGGGGCCTCGAAAGGGTCAAACTGTCGGGACAAACTGGATCCCGAAGGCTTTTGTTCAAGGCGCCTTTCCGCAGAAGGGTTGGTGGTCTTTGCCTCTTCTCTTTCTTTCTTTCTTTCTTTCCTTCTTTATTCCCTTCCTTTCTTCTCTTTTCCTCCCCTTTCTTTTCTTCTTCCTTCTTTCCCTTCCTCCATCTTTCCCTTCTTTTTCCTCCTTTCCCTCCTTTCCTTCTTCCTTCCCTTTCTTCTTTCCCTCCTTTTCTTCTTCCTTTTCTTCCTTCTTTCCCTTCCCTTACTCTTTCTTCCTTCCCTCCTCCTCCTCTTCCTCCTTCTTTCCCTTCCTCCTTGTTTCTTTCCCTCCTTCCCTCCTAACTTCCCTTTCTTCCTTTCCTCCTCCTTTCTCTTCCTTCCCTTCCTCTTCCCTCTCTCCCTTCTCCTCCTTCTTTCCCTTCCTTTCCTTCCTTCTACCTTCCCTTCTCCTTCCCCTTCCTCTTCCTTCTCTTCCTCCTTCTTTCCCTTCCTTCTACCTTCCCTTCTTCCTTCTTCCCTTTCCTCTTCCTTCCCTACTTTTCTTAACTTTTCCTTCTTTCCTTCTTTTGATTCTTCTTCATTCCCTTCCATTTTTCTTCCCTTCTTTCTTTCTCTTTCTTTTTCAGGGTGCTTTTTTTTTTAGTGATTTTGCGCTTCCCCCAACTCCTCTGCCTCCCCAAATTCTCCATGCCCACACATTCCTCCTCCCCCTCTTTCTCTTTGGAACATCTCTCTCTCTCTCTCTCTCTCTCTCTCTGCCTGGCGCCCCTGATGCTGCTTTGCGTGCCTTCAGCTCCACCAACTCGCTCCTCTGCTCATCCTGTTTCAACTTGTTGGGACAGTTGCGCCTCTCCTGTTCTGGCTCTCTTTGCCTCTCCCAAGCCGCCCCGTCTCTCCACAGAGATCTTCTGGGTGCTGAATGTGGGAAAGAAGCTGGTCGCCTAAGCCTGCTTCCTCAAGGCGGACTAGGGCCCCTTCCATACAGCTGTATAAAATCCACATTGAACTGGACTATATGGCAGCCTGGACTCAGATAACGCAGTGCCCTTCTAGACAGACTATATCTCAGGATCTGATCTCAGGTTTTCTGCTTTAAACTGGATTATATGAGTCCACACTGCCAGATAATCTGGGATAAATAGAAAACCTGGAATCAGATCCTGGGGTATAGGGCCTGTCTGGAAGGGCCCCCAGTTCAAAGCAGATACTGTGGATTATCTACCTTGATATTCTGGATTATACAGTTGTATGGAAGGGCCCTAAGTAGATTTATGGTGTATCTGCACTGTAGCATAAATGCAGCTTGGCACCACTTAAACTGCCCTGACTCAGTGCAATGGAATCCTTGGAGTTGTAGATTGACAAGGCCTTGAGCATTCTCTGCCATAGAATACTAGCACATCAACTCTCAGGATTCCATCACATTGAGCCATGGTGGTTCAAGTGGTGTCGAACCACATTTATTCTGCAGTAGAGATACACCCTTCATCTACTGGTGCCACCAAATTAATTCTCTCTGGGCCCTTCCAAACAGGCCCTGTATCCCAGGATCTGATCCCAGGTTTTCTGTTTATCCCAGTGTGGACTCATATAATCCAGTTTAAAGGAGAAAACCTGGGATCAGATCCTTGGATATAGGGCCTGTCTGGAAGGGTACTCAGTTAGCCTCAAAGGTTCTACACAAAATCTCTTCACGCAGGCCCATAGCCAGGATTTCGATTCGGGGGGGGGGCTGAGTCTGAGTGAAAGAGGGTCTACCCTAGCAAACCTTTTGTATTGTTACCCCAATACCCCCATGCATATGGGATATATTGAGCATGGTGATCAGATCATGATATGAATAAACATAACAGTTTAAATAATGCACCAGTAAGGCCTTTTCGCGAACCACCATGAGAATTTCGGGGGGGGGGGGCTGAAGCCCTTCAAGCCCCCCCCCCCCCCCCCCCCCGCTATATGCCTGCCTTCACGGAGTAATATTCCAGATTAACATGGCTGTTTCTTTATAGTGGGTGGGGGGTGGGTTGCTCTCTCCATTAGACATGGGATGTATCCACACAGTAGAATTAATGCCGTTTCATCGCTGTGACTAAATGCTGTGGAATCATGGGAGCTGGAGTTTTCTGCAGTCTTCTTCCAGAGAGTGCCGGTTCCTCACCAAACTTCCTGGATTCCATAGCATTGAGCCCTGGCAATTAAAATGCACTAATTCTACAGTGTAGTCTAAACTGCATCTCAGCCTGTAGGCTCACTCCCCTCCCTTCCCCATGGCTTTTGGAAGAGCCTTCTAAGGAACATTGAACTTGAGCGAAAACAGCCTTTCTTGCCCTCGCACTGAGCCTGGCCAATGACAGGGTGTGTGCCTGGATAATGAGACCTAGATTACATACCTCTGGTTCACATGCTTGGTAGTCAACCTCAGATTCCAAAATGTTTTAAAAATAGTAAAAAAAACCAAACCAAAATATTGAAAAAAAACCAACGGATTGAGGGAACTAGTCCAAACAACTATGATGTCTCATGGGAGAGAAACTGAGGGGTCTGCTAGAAGATGTTGGACAGAGCTTCCACAATTCTTTTGGTATTTGAAGATGATATCTGAACATGCACGCATCATTTAGCCATCATGCCTAAGAGCTGTTGATAGACCCATCTGCCCTGGGTCATAGTCATTTTTAAAAAAATCTTTTTGGTGGACATCTCCCTGTCTAGTGGCAATGGAGTCTCACATGTTTCTGTGTGTTGTGTGGGACAGTACTTCCCACTGCTGAATATGCTCCCAAACGTAGAACCAGGCCTATCATTAGGCAGAGTGAAGCAGTCGCTTTAGGGTGCAATAGGAAGACTGCTGTGTGTTTCATGCAATGAAACCCTATATGGCTTGCTACCTTCAAATATGGTAGGTATGTTGACTTGTTGTCATAAGCCTCCAGGTCAGCTTTGTAGCATAATGCCTGGCCGACCGTTTTCACCAAGTGAACTCAAAGTTTAGTATTACACTGTGTAACACATTTTCCCCCCTGGGTTATAAATGTCATTCCCTAATTGGTTCTTTCATTAAAACATGAAAAAAAGTTTAGTAATCTGCAAAAAACTTCGTTTTTGTGGGACATCTTGCAGCACATTTTCTATAGTTTTTCAATGACTATCTAATCTCAACCAATTCAACATAGGCCCCATCTACACTTTTATTTATCTCTATATATAAAAACTAGCCATCTCCTGCCACACGTTGCTGTGGCCCAGTCTCTGTATATGTTTTGTGTGTATATATATTTGTGTATATATGTATATATCTGGTTTTGCACATGCGTTCTAATGTATTTTTATTTTTTGGCTTTTTAAGTCTTTCCCACTGTGTTTTTGAGTGTTTTTATGAGTGATGGTCACTCGTTGGCCTAATAGGTGTATTGTGTCCAAATTTGGTGTCAATTCACCCGATGGTTTTTGAGTTATGTTAATCACAGAAATGAACATTACATTTTTATTTATATAGATGTAATGTTTGTTTATGAGACGCACATAACTTAAAAACCACTGGACGAAATGACACCAAATTTGGCCACAAGACACCTACTAACCCAAAGAGTGACCATCACTCAAAAACCATCAAAAACACAGCAAAAGAACTTAAAATCCAAAAAAAGGAAAAGACAACGCAGCACATGTGTTCAAATGAATTTCATGGCCCCGCCCCCTCCTGCACGAGGACACAGCAAGCACAAGAGGCACCACCAACCATCCTTCCTCTTCCAGCCAGAGCAGGATCTAGGAACAGACGGCACAATGGTGGGTCTGGCACCAGGGAATGAAGGAAAGAGGGAATGAATGAGAGAAGGGAAGAGCAAAGTAAGGATGCAAGCAAAGACCGAAGGAAAGAGGTAGAGAAGGAAGAAAGGGAAGGAAGAAAAGAGGGAGAGAACGTTGTCCACACCAATGTATGACGGGTACAGCTAGTAATTGTATAAACCTCTTTATGCATCTTTTCTGGTCATTCCCACTTAACTAAGAATGATTCTTGGATGCGTCAATCTTTCTTCATTGGAAATGGATTTAAAACACTCTGGCCCTCTAGGATCTTTTGAGCTATGTCTCCATACCAGGCCCCTTCTACACTGCCATATATTCCAGTTTATCAAAGCAAATAATCTGCATTGTCTGCTTTGTACTGGATTGTATGAGTCTACACTGCCATATAATCCAGTTCAAAGCAGATACTCAGTGGACAAAGGGCCTATGACATACTTGTTCACCCTACACTTGTAAGGCAAACATACTCGGCCACAAGTGATGGCCCAGGATGACTATGACATACTTGATGACATCACAGAATGTCCTGTGAGATCCCAGAGAACCCTTGAAGCAGAGAAGCATAAGATCAGAAACAAGCACATTTGGTAGGACGACTAGTATCCCTTGAACTGTGCTGCTCTGGGTACAGCGGTGAAGATACTAGTCAATGTTCTAATTAAAGAAGACCCATTGAATCTGTTGAATCTCAGAAAGTGTTATTATATAGCACTTGTGGTCATGCTGGCCACATGATCTAGGAGGTGCTACGGACAGTGCTGTCTCTTAGGATTAGAAATGGAGATTACCCCCCCCCCCCAAGTCGCACTCAACTAGACTTAAAGAGGAAACCTTTATGTATAAGTTTATTGTTGTTAGTTACATTCAAGTTGATTCCAATTTAGGGCAATACTATGTTAGGGAC